ATTGATTTGTCATTTAAATAAAATGATAGAAAATTATCTAAAATATTTACTGCAAAAATGAATTTAATCGAAATCTAAATTTTAACTTTATTGCATTTTTGAATTCACAAAAGGGGAAAAAAAAATCTTGCATTTTTTGTGTTATGATAAAATATAAAATAAAAATTAGACCTAATGCTACTACATCAAGCGATATAAAATATTTAAGGAATTTTAATTAACTAATTTATGTTGATTGTTAAATATTTTTAGAAAAAGTGTAAAAATAAATTATATATTTCTAAATTTTAAATATTTTTAAAAAATCTTCCATTTTTAGTGTTGATTTAAATACTTTGATCAAAATTGTTACTTTGTTGCACAATAGCCCAGTTTTTCAGAAGTCTTTAATCCCACATACTATCATGGACTTTTTATTGGGCCCCTAGTTAGATGGATTCCTTAACAGCCCATTTGGAAAACTATACTTAACCCTACTTTTACCAGTTGGAATGTTGAAATATCCTGCACATTTAAAACATAATTTTTAAAAGAGAATTAAGAATATTTTTCATAATATGAACCGCTACATTATGAAAAAATATTTTCAACAAATAAGGAACATAACTAGTCTTTTTTCTAGAGCAGGATCATTAATATCCTTTAGCTTTAATGTGATCCCCTTAATCTGAAATGACATATTATTATCCATTAGAACTTGACCCCTATTTGTATTTTCAAACTCAGTAAACCATGTTGTATTGGGACAATGTGGAAAGTGCAACTAGAGATTCTTGACTAGGTTGTCTTTACATCAACATTAGCCTCTTCTTTATATTATATGCTAAAGTTGCTCTTCCATAAATTTTAGACTTATTTCTCATATCATCAAGTCTTTTTGGGCAATCCTTGATAAAATGATTTTTTTCTTGACAGTAAAAACATTTTTTTTCCTTTAGCTTTACTTTTCATTTTGTCCTTGGATTTTCTCTTCTGCTTGTATCCTATCTTTTTATTTATACTAGTCTATTGCCCATGCAATGCACGTGTTACGTTATTTTGAAGGTAATGTTAGTAGTAAGTTTGTATATATACTTTATTGTTTAGCAATAAAGTTGTGTATAGAATGGTCTGAGTTTTCAATAACATCAAAACAAATTAACAATGTTACATAATTGAACTGAAAAATTGTTAGATATTTTTTCATAATTTTTTTATTTTTGTTATGCAAATGGTTTGCTCTTGAAGAGTTGTGTCTATTGGAAGTTAAATGTAGTCTTTATCTGTTGTTCTTTGTGCGTGTAAAATATAACAGACAAATGACGCTGCACGGAGAGAAGCATCCACGCGGCGCTGCGCGAAGCGGGATCTGATCTCCATGCTGTGCGAAGCATGGCGCACCGTAGAGAGGACTCTCTATGCACCGCGAAGAGAAGAGGAAAAAGGCGCCTGTCCTCTCCGCGCACCGCGGAGAGAAAAGGAAGAAGGCGTGATGCGTGGTTGGAGTTACTGTGCTATAGTACCATCCTGGGTCATTTTTGCAAATTCAATAGATTCAAACCCTATAGTGATAATTTAAATGGTCATGTAATGTAAATGCTTATGAATGTTAAGTAACATCCTTTGATGCCTAAATCTTATTTTCATTATATATGAATTAATTCGAAAAATTAAAGATGGAAGTAGTGTTCATGAATTTCTTTTCATTACTTAAGAATCAGCTTTTATGTATTTTGTTTCCGAATGGAGAACATGTGGAAGTGAACAGTAAGAACTTCCTCTTATTATGTCATCATCTTCTGATTGAAATCATAATTTCTTGCACATATATTTATTTTTTCAAAGAATAGGCTCAAACAAACGCTTAAAATATCACACTTGGAAAACTTCTAGAGAACCTCAAACGAGGAAACTGTAATTTTTCCGTCACGTTTGTACCAAAACTTACAACCCAAAAGACCTATTTTCGGTTTGAATTTATTTTCTGAGTTCAACACAGATTTCAACAATTTTGTACAAAATTCTCGTAGTCTTCTTATGCTTGCTGTGGGGAATTCGAAAATCGCAAAATATACGATTTAGTATTAAACTGTAACCTTCGTTAACCTGCTAGTGAAGATGAAATTGATGTTGTGATTTGAAGTAGAGAACTTGTAAAAGAAGTTGTCGTTTCAGAATATATATGGATAAGATGGGAAAGTATGAATACAATTAAGTTTATAATTGACTACCAATAGTAAATGGTTGCTTTCGTTTTTTCTTTCTCCTTTATCTTAGAGACATAAGAAGAGTCAATAATTGTGGGTACGAGAAAGTCTATATTACCCTTTTGTTTTAAAGTTTCGTGGATGGATAGTGGAAGATGGCTATGGATAAAATGGGAATAAAAAATGCTTCACAAATAAACAGTAAATGATGGATTGCCTCTTTTAAAATAGTAGAGATATGTAAATTTTGTGCTCATTCATCAGCCACAATGCAATTAAGAACGAAATACAATAATCGATAATTTATTGGTCAACATAAAAAATAGGATACAAACGTGTATTGATTATTGAACATTCCCTCGTTTGAGCTCCATTTTGGGGGGAAAATGTATTTTAGAATATATATTTTTTTTTTTGGAAAATGTAAGGTTAAAAAATAAGACACGTAAAATTATTTTATTAGAAAATATGTGATTAAAAATGAGTTTTGAAAAAATGAATTGGGACTCAAACAAGGGCTCAATATAATGTTGTATTGTATTCACTATTATATTATGCTAGTCTAACTATTAGTACAATAATTAATTGAATGGATTCAACATGTTAATATATATTCCTTTATTCCAATATAATATTATAATCATAACAAATGTTACAAATATAATACTCTTTTTCAAGAGTAACAATATAGTATTTTTCTTAAATATTGATACGTGACAATGCTAAAAAATATATATATTTTTTAGAATATTGATTTAGATTGTTACCTTTTCAAAAATGGCTTAATTTATTAAAAGTAAAGAACCCAAACAGAAAGTGATCTTATCTTAATGTAAAAGACAAGGAATGGGTACTTCATAAAAGGCCATCCCGTCCAACCAAAAATACATCATCATTCTTCATATAATGTCATTTCTTGTATGCCATTAGATTCTTCGAATAAATTATTCTCAAACTCATTTTTAATTATATTTTTTTAATAAAATAATTTTACGTGTAAATTCAA